ATGAGACCAAACACTCAAAAAGCAGCCATTCATTTCCTGGGCTCCTGCAGCTCACCCAAGACCCACATTGGAAGATTGGTTCTGCAAACTGTGCTGTACCCAAACGTCTGAGAGCACAGGAAAGCCTGGCATTGCAATACCCCTGTGTGGAGCATAGGAAGGGAGATCTGCCCCTCTGCTGTGCTCTAGGGAGACCCCCCTGCAGACCTGCATCCAGCTCTGGGGAACAGCACAAGAGGGATGAGGAGATGGGTATGATTCTGGTTCTATGACTCTATGAAAGGCACTGCCTGCAGGAGGGTGTGAGCCCAAGCAGCAGGTCCAGGCACAGGTCTAGCAGCAGCTCCATGCCAGCCTTCTCCTTGGATGTGGCCAGCACGGCATGAACATAGCCATACTTGCAGCAATCTGTTGGTGTCGGCTGCCAGAGGACTGCAGGACCTGCTGGCTCTTTCTGTGTGCTGGCACTGGCTGCTCACAGAGCAGACACACACAGCAGAGCAGGGAAGCAGCAGAGCCGGTGTCTGGCAGAAGGGCAGGGCTTGGTTCAGAGCATCACTGAGCATGGCTGCTCTGGCTGGTGGGAATGCCTCCGCTGGGATAACCATGTGGTGTGTACACAGTCCTGCTGCTGCCTGTCAGTCGCTCCAGCCAGGGAAAAGAGCCCTGGGATTTGCCCTGACTGGAGGAGTACCAGTGTGTAGGAGTATTTCCATCTCCTTTTCCTGCCCAGGTGCTTGGGGTATCCACCCAACCACTTAAAGGTTTGGTTTAAAGCCCCAGGGCCCTAAGGGGATAGGGTGGCAGGAGAGCAGCACTTGCTGAACAGCAGAGCGTCTGCCTGTGGCACAGGGCTGGAGCTGGATGAGCTTTACAGTCCCTTCCAACACAAACCCCTCTATGATTCTATGATATCCCCCAGTCTGTGTGGATGTGGCACTGCCTGTTCCTGACAATCCAAAGAGGACCAGGTCTTCCTGGAAGCAGAAAGGGCAGCACACAGCAGGGATTCCTTGTGACAACATCAGTGGAGATGAACCAAAGTGATCTGAGCCAAAACAGCCAATGGCAAATGGTAGCCAAGAGACTACAAACCAGCACGAGCATGGGAGCACCGTGCTCCAGCCCTGCCCTGCTGCAGGATGGGCATCACGGAGCCAATGTGACCAGAGCATGGAACACTTGGCTCTGCCAGCAGGAGCCAGGACACTGTGAACCAAGCTCAGTTCTGCCCAAGGAAACACTGATTTACACTGAAGGGAAACAAATTAGTACTGTAGTGATAGCACAAGGGGTAATGGGTTCAAACTGAAACAGGGGAAGTTTAGATTGGATCTAAGGAGGAAATTCTTTCCTGTGAGGGTGCTGAGGCACTGGAATGGGCTGCCCAGGGAGGTTGTGAATGCTCCATCCCTGGCAGTGTTCAAGGCCAGGCTGGGCGAGGCCTTGGGTGCCATGGTTTAGTGTGAGGTGTCCCTGCCCATGGCAGGGGGTTGGAACTGGATGATCTTAAGGTCCTTTCCAACCCAAACTGTTCTATGGTTCTATGAAATTGTACTGAAGGTAACTTTGCTAAGAGAGGGCCCTGTGAAATGAGCCACACGCACTTTGGTGTAGAACAAATCCATCATGAAATGCCTTGGTCACATCTGCCAGCTCATCATGTTAAAGCCTTGGTGTGCCTCCTTAGAATTCACTAAGGATATGCTTGGCTTTGCACTCCTAAAGGGAGCCTTGCTGTTGACTTGGGTGCGAGAGGGAGAAGTGCAGACTGGGGGGCTCTGCACACACGCAGCAAGTGAAGTGCTCACTTCTGACTCAGACTTCTCACAAGACAGGAGAGCTGCAGAGGCCCTCTGCTTTCTGTCTGTGAAAGAAATGCAAGTGAGCAGGAGGGGTGGGAGAAGGAATGAGCTCTACAAAACCAAGGAAGAGATGCTTCAAGTAAAAGTGGATCAAGGCTCAAATACAAAGGTTTCTTCCCTTCTCTCTTTCACAGGTCAAGCAGGAGAGGCGAGATATCTGCAGCAGGAATTCATGTCTCCTCCAAGCTCTGTTCCACAGCCCCATGGCAGCCTTCCTCCCGTGCAGGTGAAAGGCAGGAGGTGCAGAGGAGGCCTGGGAGCAGTGCTTGCTGACCTTTGCCATGTGTGAATTGCTAAGCCTCTCACAAGCAGAGGTTTCCAGCCCTGCCTGAGGAGCTCAAGCCCTGACCCAGCAGGCTTCCTGCTCCGGGATGCTTTTCATGGACTGGGGAGCAGCTGGTGGATCCCTGAAGTTTCCCAGTGTCAGCAGCAGCAAACTGCTGTCTCAGATGACAGAGGGGCTTTTGCAGCACAGCAGCTCCACAGTCATAGAATCACAGAGCGGTTTGGCCTGCAAAGGACCTTAAAGCTCCTCCAGTTCCAACCCCTGCCATAGGCAGGGACACCTTCCATTAGACCAGGTTGCTCCAAGCCCTGTCCAACCTGGCCTCATTAACCTGCCTCACCCCTCAGCCACCTCCACATCACCCCCACAGCATCTCTGTGCCATCCACCTGCCCATAGATTTCCCTTCCCAGTCCCCCTCTCCCCTTTCTCTGCTCACCAGCCCTTTTCCTTTTTCCACATGTACCCATTGCTGTCTGTTGGGTTTTGACACTCCTGACCCTACACCTCCTCTGTTTGCTATTTTCCTCTTTGCTTCCACTTTCTTTGGTCACCTCACCGCCCTTCTCACTCACCCTCCCTCACTTCCTTTCACATCAGAGGGACACCAGGGACCAGCTGGACCCAATTGTTGCTGGCAGGTCTCAGATGCAGCTTGTTATGGCAAAGAGCCAGCTCCCAATCTGATGAAGAGCAGAATGAAGCCAACATGAGGTACCAACCAACTGCTGCAGCCCTGTGTAATAACAGCCCCAAGAGGGACGTGAAGCACTGCTTCACATCGAGCTGGGAGCATGATCTCCGCCTTAGACCCTGCTTAAGGATAATTAAAACCCCATTAATTCATGTGTTGAATTCTTTGCAGGGCCCAAAGGAAACTGCCAAGCTGTGGGAGTGAGGAAGTGTGATCACCCCCGCTTTGCAGACAAGGCACATGAGGCTGAGCCAAGCTCAAGGCTGTAAGATGTGGCTGTCTGTCAGAGCAGTGGGATGTTTGCAGTCCAGCCCATCCCACCATCCCTTCCTCTCCCAGGGATTTATAATTATCATCACTGTCACAAGTAGTATCATTTAGCATCGAAAGGAAAGGAAATAGCACCCAGGTCCTGTCAGCACGTTAATGCCAGCCAAGCTCTTCAGTAGATACCAGGTTTATGTCTTTCCCGTTGGGCCACATCATCCAGACTCCTCACACTGTACCTGACCCTCCCAGGCAAGCAGTGTTTCTGTGCAGGGTTCAGACAGAGGCTGGTCCCCACAGCCTCCAGCCTGCACTTGGAGCGTCACCCACCCTGGCATTAGGAAAAGCTTTCTGTTCTTTCAACTGTCTCAGGCATTTAAGTCTTTAAGGCAGGAAGGGCTTATTCTAAGCAGCTAGGGGATTACTGGGAGTTATAGGATACTTGCTGATCTAATACTTTTCCTTTTTGCTTCAGCTTTTATGTAGCATGAAGAGAAGCTGCGTGGAGACCTCAGAGCAGCCTTCCTATATCTGAAGGGGGCCTCCAAGGATGCTGGAGAAGGCCTTTTCCAGCATCAGCTCAGTTCTGGGCCCCTCACTGCAAGAGAGACCTTGAGGTGCTGGAGTGGGGCCAGAGAAGGGCACCGGAGCTGGTGCAGGACCTGGAACCCAAGTGTGATGGGGAAGGGCTGAGGGACCTGGGGGGTTCAGACGGAGAAGAGAAGGCTCAGGGGGGACCTGATGGCTGCCTCCAACTGCCTGACAGGAGGATGGAGCCAGGAGGGGCTGGGCTCTACTCCCAAGGAACAAGGGATGGGACAAGAGGAACCGGCCTCAAGCTGCACCAGGGCAGGGTTAGATGGAGCTGAGGAACAATTCCTGCCCCAGAGGGTGCTCAGGCATTGGAACAGGCTGCCCAGGGCAGGGCAGCAGGCACCGGCCCTGCAAGTGCTCACACCCCGTGGAGACGAGGCCTCAGTCCCATGGGTCAGTGGTGGCCTTGGCAGTCCCATGGGGCAGTGGTGGCCTCGGCAGTGCTGGGGTAGGGGTTGGACTGGATGAGCTTGAAGGGCTTTCCCAACCTGGGTGATTCCTGAGTCAATGATTCCATGCCCCGCGGTGCCCTGCGCAGCTCCAGCCCCCCGGGCCGGGCCGAGCAGAGGACGAGGGCTCGGCCTCGGTCCTGGTGCTCCCCCCTCTCCGCTCTCCGCGGGGCTGCCGGCAGCGCCCCCGCACCCGCCCCGCGGCCATTGGCCACCCGCGCCGGGCCCGCCTCCGCCTCCGCGGCCGCGCAAGCGCCGCCACCGCCGCCGCCGGCTCGGGAGCGTTCAGCACCGCGGGTGCGGACAGCGCCCCGCGGCCATGGAGGCCGCGCCGGGCTCCCCGCGCCGGGAGCAGCGGCCCGGGGGAACGCGCCGCGGCCGCCGGCCCGACTCGCCCAGGTACGAGAGCGGCGCGGACGGGGCACCGGGGCCGGGGGCACCGGGGCCGGGGGTTCCCTCCCTCGCAGGCAGCGCCGACGTACCCGGAGGGGCGGGCGGGCGGGAGGGCGAGGGTCCGGGCTGTGCCGGGTGCGGCGGAGCCGGTGCCCCGGCGGGTGGCAGCTCCGCCAGGGGTGCGGAGTCCTCCCACCGAGGGCGCGGCAAAGCCCCGAGCCGCTGCCGAGCCGCCTCCCCTTGCAGAGGTGCGTTACCGGGGCTGGGCTCGGTGCCCCCTGGCCGGCTTTCATCGGGGAGGCCCCCGGTGCCGCAAGGGGTGGGCTGCAGCTGGTGGTGAAGCCCCGGGTCCCCCCTGCGCTAGGCTAAGAGCAAGCGCGGTTTTCACTCCAAACATGTCTGTAAAGCCCTGCAGCCCCCACCGCCTCCCCCCTGTGCCATATGTTCCCTTACCTGGTGTCTCAAGCCAGGCTGGTGGCACAATCATTGTCATTGTCTGGAAACGTCAACAAGCCCATAATCATGGGCAAGGAGCCATCCCCGAATTTGCAAGCCCATTGCATTCGTTAGACCAGAGGAAACAGATCTGAGCTCCTCGGATTCTGTTTGACCAGAGCCTCCCCGAGGCCAACAGAACACAAATGCCTTCTGAAAGGCAGAGTTTCAGTGCAGCCTGGTGCAGGACATCGGTGCTGAGACATCTCCACCTGCCTGGGGAGCCAACAGGGCCATCCCTTCCCTTCACACAGCTCTGAAGAGCTCAGCCAGAGGCTGGTGCGTCTTGGTGCCGGCTGAGAGACTTCAGCACAATCCAGTGCTGGTTTCGATACTGGGCATTCCACAGGGTCGGGGCTATGTCGAGGCAACATCAGCTTTGTTCGCTGGGGTGGGCCCTGCTCAGTCAAACAGGTCTTTTGACATGGATGCTCCAGCCTGTAAGAGTTAAAGAGATGAGTTAAGCCACCTGAAACGGGGGTATTTTGAATTTCACCCATGCTCAAGAACTCTGATTTCTGGCAATAAAGCCCAGTAAAGCTGTCACTCCTGGGCTTGCCTATACCCAAATGCTCCTTTACTGAAGGCTCTTCATATGGCTGCCAAAGGGCTCTGCAGTCCCATCGCCTGCCCCCAGCCAGTGCTCTTCATCACCAAAGCTCAATCCATCATCAGAATAATACAGAGGTTTGAGAACACCCTTCCTGCAGGCCTGGGATGGGAGGTGGTGTTTCCCTTTTCATTACATTTCTTTATTCTTCAGAACAAGGCTTATCAACCATGGCTCTCCCAGTGCATCTTACACTGCCTGTGCAGGCAGCAAATACACCCAGAGCTGTCCTGATGCTGAAGGCTGGGCAGGGATCTTGGGTCCCTTGGAGCTGGGTGCTGGGTGAGGAGCAGCTCCCCATGACCCAGCTTCAGTGAGTGCTTGAGCCCAGAACCCCCCCGTGTGCTGGGTGCACCCCCAGAGTGTGAGCAGCAGCTCCAGGAGGGGATCCTGCCCCTCTGCTGAGTGAAGGGGCACCCTTCCCTGCAGTCCTGAGCCAGCTCTGGGCAGCAGCACAAGGGGGATGTGGAGCTGGTGGAGCGAGGACAGAGGAGGCCATGGAGCCACTGCAAGGGCTGGAGCAGCTCTGCTCTGGAGCCAGGCTGAGAGATCTGGGCTGGGGCAGCCTGGAGAAGAGAAGGCTCCTGAAGGGGAGACCTGAGAGCAGCTCCAGTGCCTAAAGGGGCTGCAGGGAACCTGGAGAGGGGCTTGGGACAAGGGCCTGTAGGGACAGGCCAAGGGGAATGGCTTGAACCTGCCCGAGGGGAGACTGAGCTGAGCTCTTAGGCAGAAGCTCTTCCCTGTGAGGGTGCTGAGGCGCTGGCACAGGGTGCCCAGAGAAGCTGTGGCTGCCCCATCCCTGGCAGTGCTCAAGGCCAGGTTGGACACAGGGGCTTGGAGCAAGCTGCTCCAGTGGAAGGGGTTGGGGTTGGAGCTGGAGGAGCTTTAAGATCCCTTCCAACCCAAACCACTTTGGGATTCTGTGATCCCGTCACACATACCTGTGCCTGCAGCAGCAACAGCTGCTGGGGAAGGGTAAAGCTGCTCAGAGCAGTCAATGGGAAGGGTTGTAAAACTAAACTCCTCTTGGCAGACTACGTGGGAAGCAGTTTTGCAGTCTCATTAATTTTTCATGCTGATTTAACGTACTCAAGAGCCTCATTAACAAAAGGATTTTAAGTCTGCTTAAGGATACACAACCAAAAAAGCCAAACAGACTGGAACCACACAGAAATGTTTCAGTGCACCACGGCTTGCCATAGCCCGGGGAGGAGGTGATGTGCCTGTCTCTCTCCATCAGCTGGACAGGGAGAGAGATACCGAGGTGAGGGAGAGGCACCGCAAACCCATCCCTCATCTCTGGACAGGGGCAGTCATCTCCCTAAAGAGCAGAAGCAAAGCAGCTCTTTTCCTCCAGAGCTCCACTGCTGCTTTGCTGTGGTGTGTTCCAAGAGAAAACCTCTATTTAAATCCCATTTAACCCCCCCCCCCCCCCCATTCTTAAAGTCATTTAGAGCTTTCAAAGAACAAGTCCTTAATCTAAGTGGAAGCTGCGCTATAGAACCAGAGAATCCCAGATTGGTTTGGATTGGAACGGACCTTAAAGCTCATCCAGTTCCATCCCCTGCCACGGGCAGGGACACCTTCCATTAGAGCAGCAAGCCCCATCCACACGGTTTTAATTCAGAGAGAATTTACATTTCTTCTTTTGGGAAGCCTGTAGAGCTGATACACAAGCAAAACCTTGCCGAAGAATGTAAAAGGGAAAGAAAATAAAACTACCTTCTTCTGTTATGAATTAGGTGTTGCAGCATTAGATTGAGCAAAGCTTCCTGGGGATGGGTTGTAGTCAAATACAAAGTCTTGCCCCTTCTACTGCTTGTTTTTCTACCGCTGAGATTCTCTGTCAACAGGAGGGGCTGTGGTTGTGGTTTGACTCAGGCATCAGAGTCCATTCACTCGGGAGGTGTTTCCCATCTTTCATATGCAAAGTGCTGCTTTCCTGAGCCTCTCCTTAGTATGCAAAGGGTGAGAGAACCTTTCTATTACAGAAAGAGAAGTGCTTACAGAAGTGGTTTTGGGGGTGACGGTGGAATTAGGCAGAGCAAGAAAAGAACCATCCTTTCAAAACACTGTGTATTTTGGGCTGTTTCTCTCAGAGACACACACGTTCTCCTGCTGTGTGGCTCAGAGGGAAGCAAGACCTGAGATGTGCCAAAGAAATGGAATGGCTGAATTAAAAATGACCAAATGTCATCATTCCCTGCCCTGCCAAGCTCCCTCCATCATTCCCTGCCCTGCCAAGCTCCCTCCATCACTCCCTGTCCTGCTGAGCTCCCTCCATCATTCCCTATCCTTCTGAGCTCCCTCCATCATTCCCTGTCCTGCCAAGCTCCTTCCATCATTCCCTGTCCTGCCAAGCTCCGTCCATCATTCCCTGTCCTGCCAAGCTCCCTCCATCATTCCCTATCCTTCTGAGCTCCCTCCATCATTCCCTGTCCTGCGAGCTCCCTCCATCATTCCCTGTCCTGCCAAGCTCCCTCCATCATTCCCTGTCCTGCCAAGCTCCCTCCATCATTCCCTGCCTGCCAAGCTGCCTCCATCATTCCCTATCCTTCTGAGCTCCCTCCGTCATTCCCTGTCCTGCGAGCTCCCTCCATCATTCCCTGTCCTGCCAAGCTCCTTCCATCATTCCCTGTCCTGCTGAGCTCCCTCCATAATTCCCTGTCCTGCCAAACTCCCTCCATCATTCCCTGTCCTGCGAAATCCCTCCATTATTCCCTGTCCTGCCAAGCTCCCTCCATCATTCCCTGTCCTTCTGAGCTCCCTCCATCATTCCCTATCCTTCTGAGCTCCCTCCATCATTCCCTGTCCTGCCAAGCTCCCTCCATCATTCCCTGTCCTGCCAAGCTCCCTCCATCATTCCCTATCCTTCTGAGCTCCCTCCATCATTCCCTGTCCTGCGAGCTCCCTCCATCATTCCCTGTCCTGCCAAGCTCCCTCCATCATTCCCTGTCCTGCCAAGCTCCTTCCATCATTCCCTGTCCTGCCAAGCTCCCTCCATCATTCCCTGTCCTTCTGAGCTCCCTCCATCATTCCCTGTCCTGCCAAGCTCCCTCCATCATTCCCTGTCCTGCCAAGCTCCCTCCATCATTCCCTATCCTTCTGAGCTCCCTCCATCATTCCCTGTCCTGCCAAGCTCCCTCCATCATTCCCTGTCCTGCCAAGCTCCCTCCATCATTCCCTATCCTTCTGAGCTCCCTCCATCATTCCCTGTCCTGCGAGCTCCCTCCATCATTCCCTGTCCTGCCAAGCTCCCTCCATCATTCCCTGTCCTGCCAAGCTCCTTCCATTATTCCCTGTCCTGCCAAGCTCCCTCCATCATTCCCTGTCCTGCCAAGCTCCTTCCATCATTCCCTGTCCTGCCGAGCTCCTTCCATTATTCCCTGTCCTGCCAAGCTCCTTCCATCATTCCCTGTCCTGCCAAGCTCCTTCCATTATTCCCTGTCCTGCCAAGCTCCTTCCATCATTCCCTGTCCTGCCAAGCTCCCTCCATCATTCCCTGCCCTGCCAAGCTCCTTCCATCATTCCCTGTCCTGCCAAGCTCCTTCCATTATTCCCTGTCCTGCCAAGCTCCCTCCATGTGGTGGCTGAGTCAAACCATCCCAGGGGAGCGAGCTGGGGCAGGCAGGAGCTCGGCACCTTGCCAACAGCCCTCTTGCTGGGGTGGGATGCTGAGGCAGGTAAAGCCATGTCTTGCTGAGGGGAGCAGTGTCCAAGCTTCCCAGTGGGATGCTGGTCTCTGCAGGGAGGGACACAGCCCATGGCTGAGGGTGCACTCTCTGCATTCAGCCCTTGGTGGCTCCCACTGCTCTGCATCCCAGCAGAGGTGGGATGGCAGAAAGGTGTCTCCTTGGGAATCTTGGCCCCTTTTCTGGTGGGAAGAAGCTTCTGGCCTTTTGCTGGTGCCCCACCTGAGATAGGCTGCCCATGCCCCGGTACTCGTGTCACGGCTGCACTTCAGTGGCTCAGGCAGTGTCATAAACTGGATTCTGGTGCTGTCCAGACATCTCAAGGGAAAAGATGGGGAAGCAAATCAGGAAAATCTGAGGAAAAGCCTGAGAAACACAACTCATTGCTGTGGGTAGCAGGAGCAGTTAACTCCAGCCTACCCCTTGCCTGCACCTCCCTATTCTCTCTTTGCCCAGCATCTCTTTGGTTGCATCCAGCTGAGCCTGAGGAATGAACTGGGGGGTGCCTGGCTGCCTCCATGAGCTTTTCTGTGGCTGAGACACCATTTCTGCCCACTTAACCCCCAAGATGCAAAACATCTGACATGGCCCAAACTGGGGCTGAACTTAGGTTTAATTGGGAATGTTAAAAGAACCCGTTTCTCTTCCCTGCTGTTAGTCTCAGCTAGTGTCAGTGCATCAAGCAGAGTCCAGTGTGGTGCTGTGCCCACCCGCTGGCCTGCCTGACAGTGAGCAGACAGCAGGAACTCCCCCAAACAATTTTCCAGCACAGTTGAGGGTCCTGTGGGCCCAGAACTGTAACAGCAACACGGCTGCAGGCAAAGAACCAGCCCACAGCGCTGGTGCAGAGCTCAGCACATCAAATGTTAAGCCCAGAAGCACTGTGGCTAATTGGGAACATAGCAAGTGAAGCCTTGCATCCTGCAGCACTGCCAGCAGTGATTACCCAAAGCCATCATTATCTGTGAGCTCCAGGTTTCCCTGGAGATTCTGGATAACCGAGGTCACATCGTCATGGAGCTGGAGAGAGATGAGCATAAGGCAGCTCCTATCCAGAGGGTGATTGACAGAGCTGTAACTGTTTGGTCTGGAAAGGAGATAATGAAGAGTCACAAGTGAAGGATTTGAAGTACCAA